TCTTCCTAGCTGATTTCCAGGAGGGAAGATGAAAACTTTGCTTCTCTCTCGTCTTCTCTATTATATTGCATCATGTAAGTACCTAGGAGTGAGCACTCTCCCCTCTCTACCGATCCTGCTGCTGATCCTCTCTCTGACTGAGATTTCTCTGTGCTCTTTGCAGGTGTCCGTTTCCAGGTTAAACTGCTGCAGACCGGAGCGGCCCAGGTGAAGCAATGCACATTTCCATTGAGCGGGTCACTGCTGGGAAGACGAATGGCCCCACTTGCTTTCAGCGCCCCAGGGAATCTTGACCCTCCAGTGGGTGTCCCGACCCAATGGAAACCTGTGACCCGACCCCAGTCACTGACCCCACCGAACGACAGCCTCACTGTGCATATGGGGGGCTGGGGATGTCTTCAGAACAGAACCTCCACTTGCCTAGAATAAACAACGAGGAGTCCTGTGGCACTGTAGAGACTAACACATTTATTTTGACATAATCCTTCATGGGCTTGAACCTACTTCGTCAGACGTGTTAGTCTAAATTTGTTAGTCTTTAAGGTGCCACAGGACTCCCTGTTGTTTTTGCTGAAACAGACTAACAGGGCTACCCCTCTGAAACTTGACTAGACTAGATTTTGTATGGGGTCCTACATCCCCACATAAAGAATTGGGGTCATTCAAGGGACCTGTTTATTGCTCCCATGTAGAAAAGCACAATCACAGACAGTAAGGACCCCTCTCTTAGCCACTGTCTTAGTCATTTACAGCTGAGGTGAGGAGTGTTTGTCTCTTATAAGGAGGGAGCTATGCAAATGAGGGTGACAGTTTCCTGTTTAAATCTGTAAAATCAATGACAAGTCCTGTGGCACCTTAGAGCCTAATACATTTAGTTGGGTATAAGCTTTTGTGGACTAGAACCCACTTCATCAGCTGCATGGAGTGAAAATTACAGTAGGCAGTATAAATATACTAACACATGAAAAGGTGAGTTACCTTACCAATTGGCCTCCTTAGCACTGACCCACTTTGTAATGCAACTCCCATCATGTCATGTGTTAGTATATTTATACCCACCCACTGTAATTTTCACTCCATGCATCTGAAGAAGTGGGTTCTAGCCCAAGAAAGCTTATGCCCAAATAAATGTGTTAGTCTCTAAGGTGCCACAAGGACTTGTCATTGTTTTTGCTGATACAGACAAACACGGCTACTGCTCTGAAACCTGTTTAAATCTGTCCCTCTCTCTGCCCAGGCAGCACCCGGACAGACAGTGCACAGTCCCCTGTGTCTGTGAAGTTACCACACCGTCCCCTGAGAACTTTCCCCTGCAGCACCAGGGACAATGAGACTTTGGCTCCATTTAGTTTTCATTGTAACAGCTTTAGAAGGCTCGCTCGCGCTCGCTCTCTCTCTCTCTTTCTCTCTCTCAGTACACTGGAGATGCAGAGGAATGTAGGAGAATTTGAAACTAACATTGATCTGATTTATAATGTGTTTCTATTCCCAGGTGCCCTGTCCCAGGTGCAGCTGGTGGAGTCCGGAGGGGATGTGAAAAAGCCCAGAGACTCTCTCCGCCTCTCCTGCAAAGCCTCTGGGTTCACCTTCAGCAACCGCAGCATGTACTGGGTCCTAAAGGCTCCAGGGAAAGGGCTGGAATAATTATTAATTATTATTATTATTAGACTCTCATTTGCACAGACTGGGAACACCTCACAACCATGAACACATTTTGTCCTCACAGCACGCATGAGAGATAGCGAAGTATCATTATCCACCATGTTGCAGGTGGGGAAACTGAGACACGAAGTGATTAAACGGGCAGCCTGTGCCGCAATGAGAAAAGGAATTCTGCTCTATCTAGTCCCAGTTCAGTGGTTTAACCGCAGCGTTATCCTTCATCTCTGGCTTTCACGGGATCAAACACGGGGCTCCTGTCACAAATCGTGACTTGAACAGACAGGACATTTATACGGATATGAAGTTATCTTAGGCTAATCACAACCTATATTTGAAAGGGATGTTAAACCTGATGCTTCAGGGTTTAAGCCAATCGCTCACTATTGGAAATCAGGATGAGATCTAACGTGGAAGGCAGGTTACCCCACACTGCCCCCTGCAGGGTCTCTTACACTTTCCCCTGAGCCATCTGTGACAGGCCACCGTCAGGGAGATGATATTGGACTAGATGGCACTTGGGACTGACCCCATCTGTCTGTCACTATGGTCCTATGTACATATGCACCGTGGCTACTTCTCCGCACGTGGTCACAAGCTGAGATTTCAATTCTGGAGCACAGCGGAATTCTCCCCCTTTGTGCCTGGGGACATGTCCCCTTTTAGCCAGAGCCTCACTCTGACAGACCTTTTTATCTTCCCGGAATGAAACCCGCATGCAAATCTCTGCCCCAGGGGGCTTCCTGTTTAAATACCGACCCCTGGTTCTAGGAGCCTCAGTCTCTCCCCAGACACAGAACTGCTTCTGGCTGGTCACATTTTAGTCCTCGATTGCAAATAATGAAGTTTCTGGTGATTTTCCTGTCCCTGTTGGCTGCCCCGGGATGTAAGTAACTGCTGCAGGGGAAGGTAAATGCACAGTGATGGGGAATGATTTCATACATTAATGCAATGTTTTACTTTCCCCTCAGATGTCCTGTCGCAAGTTCAGCTGGTCCAGTCCGGCCCAGGCGTGGTGAAGCCCGGGGAGACCCTCACACTGACCTGCTCTATCACTGGGGACTAACAGCTACTGGGAATGGGTCCGGCAGGCTCCTGGGAAAGGGCTGGATTGGGTGGGACAGATCGACTGGGCTGCCTCCAAATGGCGCATATACTATGGCCCGTCTTTCCAGAGCCGCGCAACCCTCAGTGCAGATTCCTCCAAGAACCAGTTCTCCCTGCAGCTCCGCTCGCTGACAGCTGCAGACACCGCCACGTGTTACTGCGCTAGAGACACAGTGACGCAGAGCAGAGCAGGGCCTGGCACAAAAAGGGGAAGCGGATTTTGAAGAGTGAGGCCACATTCAACAGGGTTTACTGAACAAATCAATATGAATTGAAAACAAGGAACATATGCAGATGAGGAGAAGCGACATTTACAGGCAAAAACGAAGCAACAGCGTGGATAGGGCAATGCACTGGGCATCAGGACACCTGGGTTCTTTTCTGCCACTGGCCTCCTCCCGGATGACTTGGGAAAGTCACTTCCCTTCTCTTTCCCCTTTGTCTGTTTAGACTGTAAGCTCCTCTGGGAAGTGACTGTCTCTGACTGTGTTTGGGATGTCTAGACACTACTATAATACCAGTAATTGGTACTAATAACAACAAAAACATGTATTGTAAAGACCCCGCGCTCCGATCCCACTCCCCGACAGGAGCTGGACAAGTTATTGAAGTTCTCCAATCTTGATCTAAAGACTGTAAATTACAGAGAAGCCACCTTTCACTCTAGTTCACATGGGCAAGTGACCAGTGCCCCACACTGCAGAGGAAGGCAAACAAAAAACAAACAAACACCCACCCACAAAAACCACAGGGTCTCTGCCAATGTGACCTGCAGGAGAATTCCTTCCCCTCCCCAAATATGCTGATCAGTTAGACCCTGAGCATGTGTGCAAGACTCACCAGAAAGATGCCTGGGAAATAATTCTCTGTAGCAATAAGTGCCATAGACTTCAGTGGGGACTAGTGATCTGCTTAAAGATAACCACATGTGTAAATGCTTTTGGCAGTAGGGCCTAAGAGGCACTGAACTGGGACTCAGGAGGTGCTAGTTCTATTCCTGATCCTCTTTTATGCTCCTTTGAGAACCCCAGGACCTGTTTTTATTCTGACTAAGAATGGCATCTTATTAGCATTCAAAACTCACATGTTGTAACTCATACATAAGCATAACAATAAACAATAGCGGAGACAATAGTGGAGACCACTAAACAATAGTGGAGACCACTGGCTCTGAAATTTCAATTCCTCCGTGTCACAGGTTACTGAAATTAACTACTCTCCCATTGCAATGGAAATTCCACTGTGGGTATTCTTATTTCTGTCTGGACTCTCATGTAAGTAGATTTTTCAAACAGTGTTATAGCCTTCTTTAATACGCTTTATGGACTGGAATTTCATCTGTAGCAATTTAACATATCTTCATTGACATATATTTATAGTTGCTATCTCTCTCTCTCTCTCTCTCTCTCTCTCTCTCTCACACACACAC